AGTGAGTGAGCGCCCTGGCCGCAAGAAGCATAATATCAGGATTGCTCTCGTGGTTAAGCAGACCTACCAGCACCGGAACAAAGGAATCCACAGAAAATGTACTCAGGGAGTCCTCGGTCCCAATCGAGAGCATATCACAAAGCTGAGTCAAAGCCTCCACCTGCTTTCCTTCCTCCCCATCGGCACGCAACCCAGAGAGAATCTTCTTCAACCTCCCAGTCTGGTGAGAGGACGAGGCAGACCCAATGCCCCCCGATGGAAGCAAATCGTCCAGCCCAGCTCCGAGCTTCCTCAACAATCCTTGGAGCGCGCTACTAGCAGATGTCAGGTTCTGATGCAAATCCCCTGCAGCACCCTCCTCGCTATCGTTGTCATCATCATCTGCACCAGCACTGCCACGGCCACCTCCTGTAACGTCCATATTGAACACTCCCAGGCCGCTATCCCTATCTCTATCCCTATCCCTATCCCTAACCCTAACTTCGTGCTCCTTTTCCTTTCCCTTATCAGAGCTGCCTTCGCTGGCTTTATTGCTCCCACTGCCACGGTTCCGATCACGGCGAGACCCAGACGACTCATTAGTGGGGTCCATAGTTGCGCTAATACCTGTTGCACGAGAAGGGCGGGTCCTGGTGGTGGTGACTGTGGTGATTGTGGCTGCGGAAGGGATCGAGGAGGAGGAAGAAGAGGTTGGTGCAGCAGCTGCAGTAGAGGAGGAAAGACGAGCGCGCTTGTTGCGGGTGGTCGGACCGGAGGGAGATGACGATGAAGAAGGGGCAGTTGAGGAGGCCTCCGCCCGCTTCCGGCTACGAGTTTCCATACAAAGGACCACCGCCCCTCAATTCGATGGTTCGCTCGGCTTTGGTTCCCGAGCGAGGAGTGCGATCAGACAGTTCCCGATGGTAGACTCGCCTGCATCTGAAAATCGAATCCCCTCACTATCCAATCAAATCGAACAACAAACCACAGAACATAGACCAAACTCAATCTGCAAAACCTATAATTTACCGACCTATCAATCCCATGCGCCAAACAAGTAAAATTCAGAAAATCACCCCAATCAAATCCCTACAAACTTCCGTCAAAATCGATACAATCTGAGAGAAATGGTTGGGGAGACGAGACGAAAGGTGAGAGAAAAGGAATTGCAAAGTAGAAACCCTAAAGTGAAGACGGAATAAAGAAGAAATGAGAGTTGAGAGGCTTTTCGTAAAATACTTAAAATAAATTTCTCCTTTTCCTCAAGGGAATATATATAATGAAAGGACGGAAACAATGGAAGTTTCCATTGGCGGTGAATACTTCTTTCCCTTGCTTCCGTTTCGAACCGGTAATGCTTCTAAGTTATAGGGTTGCAAAGTACAGTATTCGCCTCTCCTTCTTAATATTAATTTTTAGAGAGTAATATGCAAGTTTTTTTTTTTAATAATGAGATTACAATGTAATGACTAACAAGATTACAATGCAATATCTCTTTTAAACAAATTTTATAATTTGATATTTATTCATAAAAATTAAATAATATTATTTTAAATTTGAGATTATATTATTATATTATATTATCCCACGATCAAAAATTATATTATTATTTATTTTCATGTGAGTATAAAAAACCACACTTGGTTAATAATATAAATTCAAGCTTTTAAAAGCCAATAGTTTAGATTCAAAGTGTTAATAAATAGCTGGTCTTTAAATTCGATATATTTTAAAAGCTAATAGTTATATACAAAGTATTGACAGGTTAATAGTCTTTAGGTCTGCAAGGCTACAAATGGTAATAAAATAATTTTAAATTTTATAATACATTTGAATTGTAATTTATAATTATATGATAATAGCAATAATAATAGTATCAACGGTCGTTACTATTTATCTTCGTGTAAGTATTAAAAGTCACATACTATTTACAATATAAACTCAAATTTTTGAAAGTGTCGTTAGGTCGGTGGTCAAATGTCCAATAAATTTTAAAAACTAATAGTTTAGATATAAAGTGTTAATGGGTCAATGGTTTTTAATACTCGAATAGTAATGAAGTAATTTTAGATTTTATAAGATATTTAAACTGTAATTTGCAATTATGTGATAATAGTATAATAATAGCATCAAGTATTTGAATGATAGGAATTATAATATTTCAATATCATGTATAAAGTATATGATTGTTAAGCCTCGAATAATAGTTAAAAGTTCCATATTAAGTTTAAATTTTTTAGAATTAGTAGTTTGAATATAATAAATAGCTAACTCATTTATGCTTCGATGTATATTATGTGGTTTATAATCAAAAGTATATCAATCTAATTTTGTGATTGTATTTTGTTTGATCCAATTTTATGAACGGGTAATGCTTATAAGTAGTAGGGTTGTGAAGTATAGTGTTCGCCTCTCTTTTTATTAATATTAATTTTAGAGAGTATACTACAATATTTTTCTAATAATAAGATTACAACGTAATATCTTTTTTTAAAGAAAAATTACAATGCGATACTTGCTGATAAAAATTAAATAATATTGTATTAAAATTTATATTATATCATTATATTATAATCCTTTGATCTCACATTCAAAAGTCATATTAGTATTCATCTTCATGTAAGTATTAAAAACCACATGTGCTTAATAATATAAACTCAAGCTTTTAAAAGCCGGAAGTCTAAATCCAAAGTGTTGATAGGTTGGTGATCTTTAAAATCGATATATTTTAAAAACTAATAGTCTAGACACAAAGTATTAACAGGTCGATAGTCACTAGTCCGTGAGGTTACAAACTATAATAAAGTGATTTTAAAATTTAAAAGACATATGGATTATAATTTATAATTATGTGATAATAGTGGTAATAATTACATCAAAAGTCGTTACTATTCATTTATGTAAGTATTAAAAGTTGCATACCATTTATAGTATAAACTCAAATTTTAAAAAGCATTTATAAGTATGTGGTATTAGGTCAAATAGATTTTAAAAGCTGATAGACTATATACAAAGTATTATAGGTCAATAGTGTTTAAGTCTCGTATTTTATGAATGGTAATAAAGTAATTTTAGATTTTATAAGCCATTTGAATTATAATTTATAGTTATGTGATAATAGCGGTAATAATAGTGATGGGTATCGAATTTACAAAAGATAAATCAAACAATAAAATGATACTATAGTAGCAGTGAATATGGTCAAATTTATAGGAATTGAGTCAGAATATTATTTTACGATCAACGATAAAATAAAAATGAAAAGATGAGGGTTTTTGTCTTGATTTGAAATTAAACAACTAATAAATTAAAATAAATCAGTAAATAAAATTAAACTAAACTAAAATTGTCATAAAGTAATTAAGCAAATTAAGTAAGCAATAATCAATTATAAATAGATTATAGTCAAATAAATAATATCAATTTTAATATACAAGATTGATTACTGATGCAAATGTAATTTTTACCAATTTTTAATAGATTAGTTATACTTATTGGAGATGCTTATACTAACCAATATTTCATTAATATTATATTAATCAAAAGACGTTCATTGATTCACTCTTACTAGTAACAACCCTGAAGATGCTTACATAATTTAACTCACTAACAGTATTATGGACTATAAAAACTCGATCCTAACTAATAAATTAAACTGTGCGGTTTATTCATATTATATTATATATCTTATTAGTTTAAATACTAATTTATCTACAGTTATCAGCATATCATAAATAATTATGGATTTAGGAATCAATAATGGTGATGTACTATTACGTTGAACGCACAACGAATTATGTTATAATGAATAACAAATAATAATTTTCGTATACACTGAATAATATGTAAATATTGAAAACAAGAAATAACAAATATAAAACATTTAGATCTCACAACCCAAAAATTAAAAGTTTAATTAAATCATTGACCGAAAAATATGAGTATCTAGCCACTCATAGTGGGTGTAGTACACCCATAATCATTTATAATCAACAGAGAAAAATGACAGAAAAACATAAAGGAAAGTTACAAGTGTCACATTTGATTTAAATTTTTAAGGATCATTGGTTTGGACACAATAAATAATTAACTTATTGATGTTTGGACGTATATAATTTGGTTTCTAATTAAAAGTACATCAATCAAATTTTATTATTGTATTTTGCTTGATCTTATGTGATTTTTAAATTAAAATTAAAATTATAATAAACATAATAAAACTTATGAATCATTAGCTCATTTAAATAGGTGCAATTAGTTATAATCCAATTGTAACTACAATAATATAGTTGTTGTGGTATTTGTGTTTTATGAAATTACAATTCAAATTGGATAGCGATTACAATAGTGGTTGAGTCGAATTCTGAGCGAGTTTCACAAAACTCAAAACTTAATAGAACTGTAAAATAAAAATTTAAGAATTTGCCTATATACAAGTGAGTTCATTATAATATTATACATTTTGATATGTGCAAATTTCCGATCATAATCAATCCACCGCGCTCATATCTAAAAA